TAATAAATTGATCTCTTCTCTTTTAGTCAATGCATAGAGTATATCTCTCCATGTTGCTGTAGGATTCTTCTTAAGCCATTTAGAGAAAAGACCTTCTTTGCTCTGCTCTTTATCAATTTCAAAGTCTTCAATTGTTATAATATCTTGTTGTGTTATTCCAGGTAAGAGAAGACCAAATGATTGCCAGTCAACAAGTGGTTCAAGCCATTGAAGTAATAGGAAAATATCAGGTTGATCATCAATCATAGGACCAGGATTGAGTTCAACATCTCCTGATAAGAGGAGGAGGAGAAGTAAAACCAAATAGTAGATCAGGTCAGAGCTACTCCCAATAGTAGCTATAAACAAGACTAATGACTGGAGGCAGTGGATCATAACAGTAACAGTAATTATACCTATTGTAAATACACTGTATGATAATATAATATACTGTTAGTTTGTTTACCAGTTGGAGGAATAAAATTGAGCTTCATATATCTTAATAAAGATAAAAGAAGAGAAACAATAAGAGACAGAGCTGCTGGCAGTTTAGATGTCTTCTTTCCTGATGTAGTACTGCCTGACTTGCTGTCTACTGCAGCTTTGAATGAGTGAGAGTGGCGGCCATTAGCTCGTCTACTGGAGGTAGCTTGACAGTAGTTCCACAGTCCAATACTTGCTCTCCATTGAGAGACATCAATCATCTTGTAATTATTAGTAAAGTATAATTAAAATGAACTATAATATACTTACCTCTATGATGGCTCTATCACTGTTAATGATCAACTGTTGTAAGATAAAGAAATGAAAAGATACAGTCAAAAGTACAAGCCAATTATGCTGCACAGCTGCAGTTGAAAGAGGGCGTGGCTCCTTAACCATAAGCTCCACCCACAAATCTAATTAGCCACACCTCCTGATTACTGTAGAGATTTGAGGTAACATAGTTTGTAGTTGTTTTTCTTTATAATTATTATCTTTTCAATCAGTTATTGATCTTATATTGTCTTTTAGGTACTTTATAGTCTGTGTATTAGCGTATCAGTACCGTATATACTTTTTGAATCAGTTGGCATGGTAACTGATAAATAAAGGCGTGGTGTATGCTGAGTTTCATTTTATAGGTATTGATGTCAGTACAGGGAGGATCACGTGATAGGTCACATGACTTGATATCAACTGCCGTTCCTCGTGTGAACGGGTGGGAATGTCCCTGGCACCCACTTCAAGTGAGAAACCACACCCACTAATGATTGCGTATACATAATATTTATTAGCGCTTTAAGATATTTAATGATGTTTATTGTCAAATTATTTGTGATCAAATTGCCAAAATTGAACTGATTCCAACTAAAAGATTTGAGTTGTGGCCATTCTAAAATTAGTCGATTTTTGAAAAATACCATGGGCTAAAAAAAACCATGGGCTATAATAATAGCCCATGGTTTTTTCTAAAAAATGGCTCCGAAATTACTTCAAATTTTTATTACATTTTCCGATACATATTGATGTATTTATGCTGTGTAAAAAGTTTGAGCTGATTCTAACTTTGATTTTTCATGTTACAACCATTTTAGAAGTATTGCGATTTTCAAAAACCATGAACTAGCTTTCTCTATTACTATTATTGTTGTTGTTTATTGTTGTTGTTTATTGTTGTTGTTTATTGTTGTTGTTTATTGTTGTTGTTTATTGTTGTTGTTTATTGTTGTTAGGTATTATCCTGGGGTGTTGTCCTATTCTTGAGTCTAATGCATTATGGGTTCATTGTGTTCTATTTCCCCTCATACTGGAGGATAATGGGCTACACTGTATCCTTTATTAATTAGGGGGTGGGGCTTAGCAATGGGTGGAGCTTCACTATTAATATTATTACTTTGAAGTATCAATGTACTAGTTTTAAGAGCTTGTACTGATTTTAATTAATAATAATTAATAGAATAAAAAATTAACTAAAATTAAGATTATTATTATTATTATTATTATTATTATTATTATTATTATTATTATTATTATTATTCCTATGCTACTGTTAATACAGGTCCCTGGTATATTATTCATAATCCACATATTATCAACTATACTGACCACTACTATAGACCCAGCTGAAGCTAGTGTCCGTGATAAACTAAGAGACTCCAATGGGTCAGTGGCTAGAGGTGTCTTTGATAGGAGACGTCATGAACATGTAATAGAAGACCTTCATTGTCATATCTGTGATGTGAACGTGTTAGTGCATGTACATGTACATTAATGTTTTATTACTAGACGAATGTAAAACATTGAAGGGGCGAGCGAGCCTAAGCAAGTAAAGCAATGTACATACAATAGATATTGACAGACTAACAATACTCATGACAGTGCAACTTAAGCAGCTCAGAACTTGATTGAGTGCAGTGTAGTTCTTGACCTACCTTTGTAATCAAATCAAGTTTAGCATTTGGAAAGCATTAAAGATAGCTAGAAACAGTCACTGCACAAATGATATGGCTAGATAGGCAACTGTAGCAATGTAGTCCAAGTTAGTTCAGGCTGTGACAGACATCCAAAGTCATTCACATCAATAAAGATGGCATATAGTGCTTTCTTGACATTCCTTGCCGTTGCTTTGGACAGTAGTATGCAAGTACAGTAAGTCGAGTTATCAGCAAAAACAAGTTTCATAGTTACTTTATTGCATCTATAACCTTGCCTGGCTCTTGGAGAAGCCTTTGGACAGAATTTCTGTCTTATTTTGCTGCTAGAAAACTCATGACTTTTCCCCGTGTGTTGGTCGCCATTTTATTTCATTGTGGCCACTCCCACTTTTAATGAAATATTGAAAATGAATTTATATACCTTTTTCAATGCATAGCATCTACCGTATTACGCATAAATAGGGGTGACGTACGTGTACAGACAGACAGACATACTTGTCTCGTTTATGTGGGGCGAGCTCAGGCTCGCCCCAACGAGCTCAGGCTCGCCCCAATTAGTAATATTGTCTGTCTGGCAGGCCTGGGGTAATAGTAATATGTAATAGTAATTGTAATAGTAATGATTACAGGGCACCAAGTAATAGTAATAGTAATAGTAATAGTAATAGTAATAATGGTCAAAGTAATATGTAATCTCAATATTACATAGCTATTACTTGCAGTGTTACACTAATAAGTAACAATAGGAAAATAGCACGTTAGCCAGGAACTATTGCTCAGTACTGAGACTTTTTAGCATAAATATAACAAAGCATTCTTAATTAGAAAGTATAAAATGGCTTAGATTAACTTCAAAAGTAGATTATTTTTTATTAGTAACCTATAAAAATCTATGGCTTATTGTAATAGTAATTGTAATAGTAATATACTTTGTTGTAATAGTAATAGTAATATAATAGTTATAATTTTCAAGTAATAGTAATAGTAATAGATTACATTTAATTGTAATTGACCCCAGGCCTGCTGTCTGGTAATTGATCCTCTACTGAATGTATCATTGACTGGAGCATGAGATTATATGATTGATCTACATGTAGTGTCTGTGAATTTATAATAAGGAAATTAAAGTCATGATAGACATTCACTGATAGATACTTGTACTGTACCTCATTCTCATATTGTGGAATTAAAGTCAGCAATCATTGATAGGAAGAAAG